ACCCTGGAGAGGGACCAGCCCTGCCGCCGCGGGTGTGTCCGTGTGTCTGCCTGTCTGCCTGTACATGTAGGCACATGCAGCCGTTGGTGGCATATGCCTTTGCAGCTGCTTAGGTAAACGCAAGCCAACATTCAGCTGTGCATCTGGTGCAATACTCTTTGATGTCACAGCTGTTATTTTGAGTGCTGCTTCCCTTGGAAAATGACTCCCTGCAGCAAGCTGGAGAGGGCTGCCTCTATGCATTGCATATACCCATTAGCTAAACTTAGTGGCTAGAAATGAGGAAGATATCGTCGTGTCCTTTACAAGTATCAGGGAAGTTCTAACATGCCCTGAAGAACACAGTAACCTGAAGCTCAGGGCTATGAATAGCTCCTTTCAGTCCAGGCTCTAGGCAGTAATTACTTATGCTATTTCAAAAGTGTCAGTGAAACTTTCCTGCAAGAGCGTCTCAGTCACTAGAACCCTACCCAGTTCACTTGCATTTCACAGAGGGTACTCTCTGGTCGTAGGAAGACAGGTTTCAGGCAGGCCATGCACTTTTATTTCATTAGCTGGGGAAAGACCAAGGGGTATTTCAAACTCAAGCTGTCCTCTGAGAAGCTAGACGCTTGGTAACTTCCTGTGCAGGTCATCAGTTTAGTTTGGTGGTGAATTTCACAGAATGTCACAATTCTGTGGGAAATATACATATACATATACATGGGCCAATTTCATGGTGGTGACACACACTCACCTGGGATGAGAAATCAGACAATAAAAAGATTACAGTTCACTAAAAATTAGAAAATAATAATCACCTTCTATTAATCATGCTGGGAAGCACCTTCCTCAAGTTAGTGTCTAGTGAGCTGTTGATTTGAGTTAAGGTGAAAGTAGTCCCATTTGAAATATGTGCTGGAGCAAACATCACTCATCATGGCCAGGAACACTGGCACACTGTCCAATCCTTTTCCTTTTGTCCACTGGAAGTGACGCAAGTGACACGCTCACTGAGTCTCTGCTCTGCACAGTGCCAAGAGCCCTGAGCTATCAGAGACAGAGGTGCTTCTGTAATTAAGAGTAATATTATCTAATGAGCTCTTCTATGGAGCAAACCTTACAGGCTCTGATGAAGCTCCATGTTGTTAATGTTCTGCTTTCAGTATCTGAATTGGTATCTCCAAAGTCATTGTGGTGCATTGCATAGCTGGGCCAGCAATCTGAGGGCCAGTTTGGCAGTTTCTGCATTGTACTGCACTATAGTCTGTAGATAGGGCCTTGGAAATACATTTTTCATTTGTTTCCCTTGCTCTTTAAACTGAGTTCCACAAATTTGGTTCTGATTCTCACTTCCTCTCCTTCACAACCGGAATTTCTTCTGAAGTTTTCAGTGTGCCTCAGACTCTCAGCTCTAAGAAAGTAAAGAATTCCCAATATGTAGACTATCAAATTTAGCAGCCTTTCTCCAGCAGTGGCCAGGATCAGGTATTTTTTTAGAAAGAGCAAAACAGTTTCTCCCACAGACATACAATAACCTGCCTCCTTCAAGAAGTTCCCTTCTAATCCCAGAGAATTGCAGCTACATAAATTCTGCTGCGTGATTTTTGCTGTCCCTTCCACCATTTATCTTAGCATTAGCTACTGTAACTCAGGATATTCCTGGTGTATCTGTAAATGCCCAGTTCTTCTTTGAACCTTGCAAAACTTTTCAAGGTCATGCTTGACTTTGAGAACTACAGTGTAATGATGTGTTCTACAGCTCAATTAATTTTGTGAAAAATGTGTTTTCTTTTATCAGTTTTGAAGTGGATGCCTTTTACTTCAACTGATTTCCCCCACTCTGCTTTTGTGTCTGAAGTGGCAAGAACAATTTCCCATCGACATACTGGGATTTTTCTTTAGACATTTAACTTCACATATCCTCATGCTCTACATTCTAAGGGTAAGAATTCAAAAATTTTCACTCTCTGTTTAGCTGAAGGTCTATTTTATTTTATTCATGCTTCATGGCAATTCTCATTCCCTCTCTAATCCTCCTATAGTTCCTTACTGTCTTTCTTGAGATAAGGTCATTTTATAGTATGCACTATTCCAGATGAAGCCACACCACTTAGATAGATGGCCTGTATAATGAGCCAATATGATTGCCTAATAATATTTCATAAATCAGTGTAAACTTCATTGCTTAATATCCTTATACGTTATTTGCTTAGCTGCACACTGAGCACATCTTTGCTAATCTGTCGGTAATTATATCCATGACACTGCTACGTTTAACTGAAAACCTCCAGAAAATTATATCAGCCTGTTTTTTCCCCTTCTCCAACATAGACTGCTTTGTATTTGTCAACACTGAAATTCTTTTGCTTTGCTGTTGTTCAGCCACAATGCTTGTTAAATGTACCCACTTTTCTTCACTTTTTCTATTGCTTTCAGTCCAGCTCAGAAAACCTTCCCAACGCATTTCACTCTTCCAAACTGCCGCTAGAGCCCCCTCATCCAAACTCATTTGTAAACATTGATATTACTAGTCACTAAGCGCTAAATTCTAACCCTCATTTCCTTCACTCTAGTATATCATTGCTCTCTTATCTGCTTTCACTTAGAAAGACAGAAAGAAAAATCACTAGATGTAGTTGCTCAGACTTCCCCTCCTTCCTATTTCTAGTGGCTGCAATGAAGTTGTTCTGACTTATACCATCTGTATATCTACAGCTTTTCAACCAGTTTGAGAATCAAGATAGAATCAGTAGCGGTTACTGTCACATGTTCCACAACTCACTTCTTTACTCCCAGATACTTTTTTTCTGTGCAGTTTTGAACTTCACAGTCAATATTATCTTTCCATTAAAGTTAAAAATCCTATCATCTTTTTTTCTTTCTTCATATTCATTGTGATCACAGAAAGAACTTATGTATTTTCCTAATCATCCTAGAGAATTCCTTGAGTCTTTTTGGAAAATGGGGCATTATTCCCATGTAGCAAGGGTGAAATATGTCCATGAAACATGAATATAAGAAGCCATTCTTTGCTTCCTTCTTTTATTTTAAGTTATTCCCTGTCAATGCTTTATGTTTTACAATGATAATATTAACAACAACAACAATGACAATTCCTGTTGCAGCTTGACCTAGCTGATGTAGAACATCTGGACTGTCTGCCAGTATTTACACATACTACTTCTCAGTTACCTGTTTTTACTATTATGGGCAGTGACCTGTTGGCTGAATTGCCTTTCATGGGGAGGAATGGGGTCCCTTAAGGAGACATGACAGTAGTTTTGTAGCTCAGGATGGTATTAAATCAAGTGTAAGAAGCCTTTCTAATATACCTTTTAAATTAGAAGGAGAAAGGTCTCAGGTGAAGTTCTGCATTGCTGCAGTGATTATTAAGAGCAATGAATCATGCGGGGCCCAGCTCAGCCAGCAAACCAAATGAACTCTGTAGTACTCTAGAAATGTCTCTTGCAGACACACCTGTAATATTGTTTGGTGACCCAGCAAGTCTATAGATCACAATATGTGGCAATTCTACACAGAAAAGAAGACCTGGGTCCTGTAGCATCCGATTCCTATACGAATCTTTAGAAGGAGGAATAACTACAACCTACTTCTTTTTGCATTTTCTTTCACTGTGTAAATCACCAATGTGGGCTTCTGCTAGGCCAAGACAGTGTCTTTTCATCCAACCTCCATTTTTATCAGCAGTACCAAATTACCATATTTTGTACTCTTCTTCACTTTTCCATGCACTTTTCATACAACTGAATAACTTTTGCTAAGAGCAATTCCTTCTTCCATCACTTGTAGAGCCAACAGGTGACGTAGTGGAATTTAGTATAAATCCATTAGGAAGATGAAAGTATGATTTTTCCTCCTGAGTTGCTAGAAAGACCCTTTTGACACTAATGGCAAACATATGTTGAAGTAAATCCAGTTGTATTTAATTGTGAGCCACTAGGAATATTCTCAGGTCAATGTTTTTCAGCACCTTCAGAAAAAGTCACTCTGTCATGCAGATTCGATACATTAAGTCTGCTAATATTCTGCTCTTGATTTGCCTCTTTAGGGAACAGCCAGACCTAGCCCCCTGACCTGCCTGACTCAGTGTGCTACCCCAATTGATTATGTCTATTTAATTTTTCATGACTGCTTTAGAAATATTATAGCTACCGTTAAAGCTGAATCAATGCAGAGCAACTGACCCAAGGAAAAGGGCTACTTTCGTAAGCCGTGAGGGGGATATTTTTCATACTTATTCCCACATGAAAGACAAAGCCAGGGTCTGTGTACGTTGATCACTTTTGTAACACCTAGGCATATTCCACGAGCATTCCCATTGGCGTAATCAGAGTATCAGTTAAGGAAGGCACCTAAAGGACTGCTCAATGTTCAGCACAAATGTATCTGTTTAGAGGTTAACAGGTCCTCAGTTGCTTCCCTGACTAGGGAAGTTTGTGCTGAAATGAGCCTTAGGGACTAAAGAACAAGTTCAGGAGTCAGCATTATCGCTTTAATGAATCATTCGGTTTTCAGCTCCTGCTTTCAAAAGGGTGTCTTCAAGTGTAGGTGTACAGTTCTGGTGCTCCAAACATGAGGCTGCTTTAGCTGAGCTGCTGAATGTTTAAAGTGTCCAAGGGGATTGTCGGTGGCTGTTGTGTAGAGGAACCATCACTGAAAAATAGGGCTTGAGTATTTCAAATTAGTTGTTAAAAAAATGAAGCTTTTGTGAAAATATAGGCTACAAGATCTCTTTGCTTAGTTTTTCTAATTTGCAAGATCACTATAATGCTTATCGCTCTCAAAGGAGTATTATGAGACATTACTATTTAAAGTTTTTCAAGTAACTGAAGATGCATGTGTAAAAGGTGCTATAGCACAAGGTGTTAAGAGAAGAGCAATCATGCTTATATTTATTTCATTTAGTGGATGTCTCATTTCTTGTACTCATCTCTCTGATTCAACAAAGTTAAACTTTATGTGCTTAAGTACTCATGAGTAGGTTTAGAATCAAGCACATATTACACCACCGTACAGGTGTTTTCATTGAATCAGGGCCTCAGTTACGGCACTGTGTTGTAACAGTAACTGGAAATGGATAATGCAGTTTGGATTCTTCTTTTAAAACAAATAAATATGCATCGGAAAATTTCTGTACTTTTTTCTCTCTGAACTAAGTCTTTTTTCTAGAGCCTAACTTATATTAAGGTATTGGTGAACATCAGCACAATTTACAGACCTCACATTATTCTCACGCTGTCCTTGCTGACAGACGTTTCAACTTCTGATCTTCACTGAGGAGGACTGTATGAAAAGAAAGTGACACTCTCAAATCTCAGTCTTGCTGAGATTTTAAAATATAGCAGAAATACCGTTATTGTTAGTCAGTGACCTTTGTGTTAGATTTTTGTCATTTGAAAAAAAAATCTGGAATACAGGTTATGTTTCTCTTGGATAAAATTTTCTACTGGTAAATAGCACTGAAGCCATTTGAAGAGATGCTCAAGTTGAGTGGCAGCTCATGGAATAACAACTACAAAGAGAGTCACGGTCAGATGAATTCACAGAGGACTAGGCAACAGTCGTGCATGAGGTTACTTATTTGAATAGCAGACTCTGGCCATTAAGAGTAAGGAGAGCAAAAATAAGAGGTGAAGAACTGAGGACTTGTAATAATTACTATCATCATCTTTCCTAAGACAGATACAAAAACATTTTATATGTTTTAATGTTCCAGATTTTACAGATGAGAAATGAGGCTCAGAGCTGGCAGTTTGATTCTGTAGCAGGTAAAGTGGTAGATCAGGGAGCAGACCCCAAATGTGATTTGTGTGATGAGCATATGATCTACTCAAACACAACATCTCTATGGAAGATAAATATTTGTCTTCACTAAAGCATCAAAATACTACCCATTGCATGGTCCCCTGCTTGGTCTAATCAGAGTCATTACCACCAAATGAAAATACGTTATCTTTGCTCATGACTGCTAGGATGTGGGCAATTAATACACAAGAAAAAAAGATCAAGAACAGTTGCTATCTTGATATAATTTGTTTCCAGGAGAAAGAAAGTGCTCATTAGCATAAGCTAAATGTAAAGTGTGTTCACCCTCCTTAATCCTGAGTGATCAGCTAACTGATGTCTTTCAGAGACTTTGATTCTGAGGTCACAGACTAGACCAAGCTAAATGATCCTCTTGTCTGAAGGTCCAGTTTCTGTGATGCTGTGTAATGAACATGGATGTGGGATGTTATAGCTGACCTATTTTCTGTGTCTTGCACATTTATTCCCTTTTTGTCTGTTCTAAGATTTAGTCCTCCTCTTCCTGCAGCAGTGAATTTGTAGGATTTCTATGCTAAGTAGACTTTTTATCTGTGCATCCTTTATTTGAGGACCCGTCACCTGGGATCTGAGGTCCTTCCTAACTAACTAGGCTAGCCTAGAGAAGCTGCTAACAGCACCATTAGGTACTCCTGCCTCTCTGGCTCTACAAAGGACAGGGCTCCTTTTGCCCTTCGGATAGAGATACTCAATTCAAGCACAGTTTCAAAGCACTTTGCTATTATGAAAAGAATTATCCTGGCTGAGCTAAGTGATGGGCAGCTAGCATTAATATCTCCACTCTTTGGGAGAGGGGAACCAGTTTGCTCCCAGAACAACCAGGAGCAAACCAGGAGCGAGACTTGCTCCTTATTTTATTCCATTAGACCATATAACCTCTCAAAACAGCAGAGCAGAAAATTACGTTTGGTCTGAGAACCGCAGTCAACAGGCAGATTGGTGCCTGTGCTAATGACTGTATTAGTTCCTTGGCCTTGCTTGTGCAGTGTACACTGCCTTTTATTAAAGTTAATCTCTACCTGACAACTCCTGCAACCTTTAGGTGGCAGCTGCAAGGCAATTCAACATCAAAACTCCCAACTACCGGTGTGCGGAGCAAGGATATGGTTCTTACAGCCATTGCTCACAGAAAGCTGTAATTCAGGGAACAACATCACAGCACAGAGCAGTGATCACTTGCTGTGATAAAGCACTCTGTGAGTATTTGGGGGGGGGGAGGCAGAGGCAGAACTAGCCACTGCTCTCCAGTAGAGAGAACCTATTTGTGAACATGTTCAAAAGCACCCAGTCTGTGCTTCCTGTTGTATAATTACTGTTTCTTCACTGAGTTACATCCACTTTAATAGGCAGTATCATTACAACGGCTCCCTCTCATACACAGTGAAAGACAGCAAGAGACAATCACCCGTTGTTTTTATTAGGATCAGCTCAGCCCCGAGAGAGCAGCAGCAGAGCTATTGTTGTGTTCTCAACCAGACCTATTTATACACTGTCAAACGGAATGCTTTGCCTGCATTGATATTTTTCTGCTTAACTATTACGGTCTACTTTTTGGGTTATTAATAACAATAATAATGTCTTCCATGTCACCATGTGCAATTTCAGGGAAAAAAAAAAAATCTTGTGGATGAGGAAAAAAAATCCCTGAAACTCCCAGGAATGTATGTGTTTGTTCATATATCTTAAGGGGGGGGAAAAATCTAATAATTAAGTGGGTAAAGGATACTGCCTCGAAGCACACAGCTATTTTGAAAAAAGAACAAAACTCCTCTTGAAATTAACAGCCTATTTAGTCGCAGGACATTCTAACCTTATTAAAAGTTCATTGTTACAAAAAGGACACAGAACAGACTGTGCATAGCACTCATGAGGAAAACCGCAGTCTGTTGGACAGAATCACTGAGAGATATCCATCTCGTATGTGAGAAATTACTATATCCTACGCTCATCGGCTGCTTCCTTTCTTCCCCTATTCCCTTCTTACTTGTCATACCTCCATAGACAATGTGCTTCCATACATTGCCTAGTGCCTAATACCTAGACTATAAGATCCTAGAGCAGAAGTTTTAAACCTTTTTCTATTTATATTTCCTAAAAAAAATTCCTAACGGAGCTGCAGATATAACCCCACTGAGAATAGATTTGTTTTTCTTGATTATATTTCCTGCATTCCTTAGAAATAGCCAATGCATCTACAGGGGACTGTGGACCAATGAAAAAGAGTCATGGAAGATGCATTTTCTGTTTCTAAAGGCTAGAGTCAAGCACAATTTTGGATGTTATCCAAAAGCAGTAGAGCTTTTAGGGCTGAGAAGGCTGCTCTGTCAGGATGTACCTAAGGCTGGGGTAGCATGACATATCTTTGGGAAGAGAGCTGGTGCCATTTGATATGTAGCAAAAGGAGAGAGAAGCATTGTTTTTTATACTAAGGAATATAACAGGGCCTCGTAGGTTGGCAGGAGCAGATCTTTTATCATGTCTCAAGGTAGATAATGTACAATAACATAACCTACAAAATTTTTTCTCTTTATAGGAAGGTTGGAGGCATCTGTGGGGACTCAGCTCTTTAAGCAAAAGTACACTGTCCTCTAAGGCTTTTCCTTCAGCAAAATACAGTGTGAGTTGCATATAGGTGCGTATGATGTGCTAACCGGCTGCAAGACCAACGCTTGTTGATTAACGCAGCATATAATCGTTCTTACATTTAATTATTCCGGATTTACAAGTGTCAAGAGTAAGAAGATATCAGTGACAACAGCAGCTGAGAAATAGTTCAATGATTATATTACCCTCTGAAGGTGGCTGTTTGCCATGGTGAAACAGATCTATGAAATATACAGTGATTATTGTGCCTGTTTCAGCATATGTCTAAATAGGAAAAAAGGCATTGCTTGCATTTGTTAATCGGAAAGAGTTCACACTTCGAGATTAAATATGACTACAACTCAATGGAAATTAAAAATGGGAATATAGGACTCAATTATTGTTTATATTTGAAATCAAATTTAGATAAATAATTCCAGGCTCATTTGAGTATGACTTCAGAGGAACAAATGAATGCGTTGGTGGATCCTTGGGTAAAAAAAACATTGTAGGATCTCTCTATATATTTGTGCCCCCATGTATGTTATACAGTGATTATTGTGCCTGTTTCAGCATATGTCTAAATAGGAAAAAAGGCATTGCTTGCATTTGTTAATCGGAAAGAGTTCACACTTCGAGATTAAATATGACTACAACTCAATGGAAATTAAAAATGGGAATATAGGACTCAATTATTGTTTATATTTGAAATCAAATTTAGATAAATAATTCCAGGCTCATTTGAGTATGACTTCAGAGGAACAAATGAATGCGTTGGTGGATCCTTGGGTAAAAAAAACATTGTAGGATCTCTCTATATATTTGTGCCCCCATGTATGTTTAACTTCAGGTGCCTGCATGAAAAAAAAAAAATAACAATTTTTTTTTTCCTAGTAAGTGTATTTTATGGCCTAAGGTCTTCTAAATTTTTCCTAGTTTTGAATTACTCCTAATTTCAGTAGACATTACTGAGGTTGGACTTTACCTGAAGCTTCCTTGTGAATTTCATAAGAAATTAAAATTTGCCATGAGAAAGAGTCGCAAACATTATGCACTTTCTCCTTAAGGTGAAAGAAAGAAGTAATGGAGACATACAGTGCCTGGAACGTTGTTGTAGCTGCAGGGGGACACTTGCACCCTAATGTTTAAGGGAGAGGCTCTTTCAGGAACCAGTGGCTCTCCCTGTTTGAAAATGCCACCTAGTGGTTCTGGAATTTTCTGGATTAATTTTCTTTGTGCGACATCCAATTTTGTTAAAAACCTACTGCTTTCTGCTTCAGATTTTTGTAATAGCTTGGGTCGGTGAAGGAGAGGGACTGAAATCTATTCTTAACAACAATGCTTCTTCATCTGCCAGCAAGGTCTTCCCTACCGATCCTATTATCCAAATCAGAAAGCCTTAAGGAAGCCCCATGCTTATTGAGTAGGATGGTCCTCACTCATTGGAAAAATTGCTGATCTGGACTGATTTAGCTTACCTACTGCTTACCTCTTGCAGGTTGCACAGAAATAAAAGAAGCAAAAAAGAAAAATGGAGATCTACGAATGCCAAAGTACTCATCGTTCTTGTTTTTCTATGCTAAAATAATACTTAAATGTATCTAATAAGCACTTATCTTTGCCTTGCTTCTTGATAAAAACTAAAGGGCATAGCCTCCCACAGTGTGCGAAAAATTTCAGTTTGGGTTATTGAAGAGGAAAGTGGTTTCCATATCTGAGGTATCGCCTTTGCTTTCATTTATTATCCTGTGGTAGTGCTGAAAACACTCCATTAAACAGAGCTTCACGATCCACTGCCTCCTTCCTCTGTGTTAGCAGACATTTTTAAAATGCCTAAGCACAAACAGTGATCTACTAGGTCCAGAAGTCAGCCTTCATAAACAAAATACTTCAGGAAAATGCTCTAACCAGCAACAAAATTCTACTGAAGGAGCGCTGCTCCCAGTGGCACATCTGTTGCGAACTGCCACTGGCAATGTACCAGGGTACAAAGCCTCCCAGGGAAGAGCTCCACTGCTTCAGCCAGGTCTTGGAGCAGGAGCAATAGTCACAGTTTGGCAACGAATGGCTCCAGCTAGGATACACCTAAAATTTGTGCTGTAAATCTCTTCTTTGGAGATTTGAAGTACTTGAGAAAACAGTATCAATAACCATCATTTGAATGATTGACCCTCATGGTACATCTCAGCCAGTCCAGCAAACTTCGTCTTTGCCTGCACAGAGCAGAGGCATTTGGGAAGATCCTAGGACTCGGCAATGACAGTCATTCATTGACAGTCAGTCAAAAGATCTGGGAGAAACTTCTGCTGCCTCTTCATTAGGAGGAATGTGCTTAAATTTCAGGGATCTAGAAGGGTCTAGATGCTCTTTAAATAATCTTTGCTTAGCTAATTAGATTGTGACAGCAGAAGCTTCCATGCCACCTCCTGAGGAAGCAGCAGGAGGGTATTTTAAAAAGAACTGTTGGTTAAAAAGAGTATTGATGATATCTGCACCTACTGTGCCTGCCTAATTGCTCAGGACATGAACACATACATCCGTGGCTAGGATGGGCTGGAACAAACTGTGCCATAGAATTACCTGGGAATGCCAGAAAATGCATTAGCACTGGCACAAAACACAAAGTGTCAAAGCGGCCTTTAAGCAGCTCTCTAGTCTGGAAACCTACCCATACATGGGTAGCAATGGACAGTAAATCTTTTAGTTCAAAAAAATCTTTCAATTTCATCTAACATGTTAGAGACTTATCTCTCAAGGGATTAATTTGGCTGAAGCAGCTACTGAATGTTCCCACGGCATCACTGAGAATGCTCCCCTGAATAAGGATAAAGCTTCTGAAGTTTGTACTAAAGTGAAGTTCAATCTAACAAGCTGTGGCTGCGTGTCTAAGGAACATGTTGGCTCATTTTCTTCTGCCTTTGAGAAGAGAATCAACAATTAAAAGAAGATCAGGTAATTTGATTATCAAGGAATGGGTATAAACCTATGGAACTTGACTTCCCTGCTATTTATACTGGTTTTGCATCAGAGTAGCTCCATGTATTTTAAGGAAATTACTCTTAGTATATGCAGATGTAAGTGGAGGAAGAATCATGGCCTTTGATCTAAGAAGAGAAGACTGTAACAAATGCTGAATACTTGTCACACAAAACATTTTATGCAAGTTCAAACAAATTCCTAAGACACACTTGGTTCCATTTAAATTCTTCTTAATTGTATTTGCTCTTGCTACAATTTGGAAGAACATATTTGAAAGACCCAAACATCTTATACGTGCTCATGAAAAATAGCTAACATGCAGGCTTGCACAATGAGAATTTATATTTACCCTTTTAAAAATTCCTTCACTTTACTTGAGTAAAAGTAATGAATAATTGAAAATTGAATGAAAGTTCAATTAATCCAGATACACAGGACAAACAGTGCCATATATTTTAGGTGACCAGTCAGGCACCATAAATAAAGAACAACAAATATTCAAAGACTTAGTCAAAAAGAAAATTGATGAACTGCTGAAAGGCAAACATAGGTTTATATAAAGTCTTCAGATAATATCAAGTAGGGATAGTCTTGTGTAGTGGTGCTAGGGAACAGAAGACAAACTTTTTCTTGTGCTTGCCTGTCACTGCTTCCTATATTAAGAGGGAAATAGGCTGCATAATGCACAGTGTCATATGCAAGAGAGATGAATCCTGGCCACATCTAAAACATTCCCAGCAACAGAACTGAGATATGGGATATTCTGTTCAGAAAGAAGAGAGAGAGAGAGAGAGAGAGAAAAAAAAGAGAGAGCTGATTCTTTTCAATCTGCTGAAAAATAAAAAAACCCCCACCAAACTGATAGCTTTTTATTTTTTTTCTCCTGTTTTCTTTGGTGCCTGTTTGCTTTGCAGCTAAGCAAAAATTTACCTTGTACCAATAATACCAAACCTCTAACAACTTTTTATGACTTTTTGGTCAAAGGGTCAAATCCTGTCTCTATTAATGTGAATTGCAAAAGTGTCACTGATTTCTGTAGGATTCGGTTCTCATTCATAGTCATGAAAAAAGTATTTTCTTTTTTAATTTTGCAGCAAAGGATTAGCTTGAGTTCTGTTTCTAAATGCAGGAAATAAAAAGTTTTCATTCCAACCATCATGACTTCAGTAGCATTCTTGCTCCTTCGCTTTACATAAATATAGCTTGGATCATAACAAAACCAACCTCTTCATTTCTAATTCCACAGAATATCATTCACACCAGGAGGACTTAGAATTTGTGCAGACCATTTCAAACTTTTTAATGGAATTTGACTCACATTTTCAGGGCAATAAAGCCATGAAGAAAAGTGACTGAACATGCTGTTTTGAAAAGCAAGAACAGGCCAAATTTTTAGAATTTTTTTCCTTAAGCCCTACTTGAGATTTCTAAGGAAAATTTCTGAAGAAAAGTTTCCGGTTATGCTGGAGAAAAGCTGATCAAAAGTATTACTTCTAAAAAATATTGCCATTGGGTTTGTCTAGGAAGAAAAGTGCAACTGCCTATTAGTCACAGTTCTCAATAAGTAGTTTCTAGCAGTAATGTGGCAGCTCCACAGATAGATAGCTTTATTTACATACCATTTGTTGCTCACAAGAGGTGAATAGTTGTTTAAGTCACAAGATAAGCTTTCTGCTCTCTGGTTGAATGAGTGAACATTTTACAATTGGTAAATACTGTACAATAAATAGGAAATGGGATGGTGAGTACCTTTGCACAGAAAGAGCCTTGCTCTCGTGTTTAGGTGAGTGTTCGTGTGAACCCTAGCTATACCTCAAACATCCATGTGAAAATAACTTTGCATGCACGAAAGACAAGAGAAGAAAACATTACTGAACTGAGGAGCCTTTAACAAATAGATTGAATAATCCACATGCTATTTATACAACCTGTAAACTCTTCTATGATAGATCTACCTAGACTAAAAGCCCTAGGAAGATCTTCCCTTCTTGTGCCTGTTGTAACGTTAGCTGGGGTTATTTGAGACACCTGAACCACCTCCTGTTCACAAATATCAGAGGCTTCCCTGGGAAAGTGGGATCGCTCCTACCATCGATGGGAAACCGAAACATATGGTAACTTAAATAACTGCAATGTAAAAGGCAAGTCTTCGAGAATGTCTTTTAAGAGTCTAGGAGAATGGTGTAGAAAAGCGTAATGTTGAATAATGCCCATAACATTGCATAGATGGGAAAGTGCCTGTGGATGTCGGGTTGCAGAAGTCTCCTGCTAGAAGGAGTGTCTCATGGTTGCTAGCTATTGCACAGCCCATGAAGGGTGCTGAGATCATGGCGGTGCTATCTTTCAATCATTTTCAATCCCAGTTAAGAAATAAGAAGGCATAATATTTCAAGTAGGAGTCTGAGTCAAAACACCAGATCTATATGTCCCCCAGTCTCAGGTAAATTTGGATCTAGAGCGAAATGTTTGTTGGCTGGGCTTGCTGCCAGTGATCTCGTGTAGTGACTCATTATTGGTACATTCAGGGTAAATGAAGGCTTTCCAGAGGTGCAAGAATATTCATTGCAAGCCTGGTAGTGCTGATGAAAACACTCTCTCCCAAGAGTTTTAAATCAGGCTACTAAAACTGGATTCCTAGGGATAATTATTAAGACTCTATTACACACCCTGGGCCCCTGCAAAACTGTAGCCATACGTCTAACTTGATCAAGCGCAGATATTTCCAATAGAAATATGTAATCTGGTACTGATCCCACCAATTTCTATCTAGCTTAAGTTCCAATAGCCAGCTACAATGTGATAGGGTATAAACTGAGCTATGTTTTTGCAGATATCTCATACACATCAGTGATGCAGTAATGCCTTTTGCCCACATTTTGCATACCTTTACGTAGAAAGACACATTAAAACCTTACCCTTTCATTAAAGAGGTCCAAGCGAGTATCTATAGCTTTAGGAAGGCATGAAGTGTTTGCAGAAAGAACATCAACTTAAAGAATGGCTATTTGGTGTGCAAAAGACACATCTGTAACAGCATCATCTTCTAGCAAGCAAATAACTCAACAGGAAAAGTATTTAGGGGAAAAGCATTAACAATTAATTGCATGCCTCAGAGAGCTCAAGTTACAGGTGTGGGCATTAATGATGTTGAAGGTTCAATTTAGAGAAGCAAATAATTATATCTGCAAGTTATTATTTTTCAAAGTAACAAATGAAGGTGTCAGCATTAGCAAAACACGGGGGAAAAAAAACAATAGTTGCTTCTGTTTTGAAGTCTACACTTCTTTACTAGAAGGGCTGCAAATATACTACCATAGAATACTTTGCAAGGCTCATTTATTGCTGGGGTGATGCTAGGTCATTTGGTGAAGTTTGGAGATCCAAGGAATGATCGGTAAACGTGCAACAGAATGCTAAAATATGTAACAATTATGGAATTTAGGAGATGTAAATGAGAGCTGAAGTGGAGATGGACACAAGTCCATCAGTCATTTCTGACTTGTTCGTATATTTAGTCTAATTGAAAGGATCAAATTTATGTAAGCCTAAGGAATGTCCCATGTTTCCAGGGAAAGAAAAATATGAAAGGAAGGAAAGAATTTTATAATCAAATACTATACTCACATCATATAACGGCCACACTATTTTGTCCAGATTTCCTGCCACAAAAAAAATCTTTCTGTACATCTATGCTTCTATGCTAAATGATGGTTAGATTACCAGGAGCTTGTTATTAATTTGATATTAGTTGGAAAATGCAACAAATGTGAAAGTGTCAGTTCTCATGCTCTCTCGGTTCTGATAAATCCCCCAGTCTAGAAGGAGAAAACAATGCAAGTTTCAAAGGTATAGCAATGTCTCATTAAAAACTGAATATGATGAAGAGATTCTGATCACTTCTCATTTCAAAATTTTAAGT